CCCTTTTCCTGGGGATCCCCCATTACGGAGACCCCCGTTACATGGAGGACCTGCTTCTCCTTCTGAGTCACTGCCCTGGGCAAGGCGGGAACTTGGAGGCCTGAGCCTCTGGCCAGTGCTCTGGATGATTCCCCCCCGCCTGTGGCTTGGGGTCTGGTACCAACTGAGACATGCGCAGCACACACGGGCCAGCTGGCGGCAGGCGGGCATTTCTCCAGCTCCTGCCAAGGCCTCCGGAGACCTGCTGCGGGCAGCCACAGGCCCTTCCTCTCAAGGAACAGCTACTCTGCAAGGAAAGGATTGCTGACTTTGGAGTCCTGTCTCTAGGGGCATCCTCATGGCAACAGAGAACACACGGACCACGCCTGCCTGCAGCTCTGATGCAAGATTCACACCAGCTGGGAGGGCAGTTTTTGAAAAGTCATTATTATTATTTTTAAAAGTTTTTCCCCTTCTTAGCCCAGCATGTTGAGTTAAATGCAGGCATTATCAACCCGGCCTTCGTCACCTCCCCAAGGGTCTCACCCACGTCTGTGTCCCTGCCAGTGCGGGGAACCTGGAAACTCCCCTTTTCCTGGGGACCCCCCACTATAGGAGAGGGGGCATGGAGGACCTGCTTCCCTTCTGGGTCACTGCCCTGGGCCTTGGGGACCAAACCCCACTAGATGAACAATGTCTAAGTCCTGATTTTTTTTTTTTTGCTTTTGAAATTACCTTCCCATTCATCATAAATATACATCATTACCAATATCAAATGTGCTCATTAACAGCTGACTGGGGAGTGGTGCTGGGTGACATGTGCTCAGGATGGTAGAAAACAGGGAGAGCACCAGCCACGGTGGAGAGGCTGACTTCTGTACGAAGGTTCGTTTCCAGGTTTCTGGCTGTTGGGAGGGGGTGCCTTGGGAGACCACTGTTGGGAGGAAAAGCACAAAAATGACTCCCCTTCCTGCTAAAGAACCTAAGACACTCCTCGTTATGAGAGTAGAGGAGTAGAGTTTTGCAGACTACACAGAACTGTGTGGGCCGTGTAACCCACACGGTGTACATGACGTGCTTCTCATGGGCTGTGGGTTATTTCTCAGCCATCAAAAGTGATGTGATGAGGCTCTGATAGACAAGAATTCATGACGGAGGAGGAATATGTTGACAGTCAATGGGGGGAAACGATAGAAAT